ATATATATACATGTATATATATACATGTATATATATATACATATGTACACATATACATATATGACATATATGTCTACGCATGTATGTACATGTGTATACATATGTGTATATATATATATACACACATACAGAGATAGATAGAGTACGTAGGCACGAAAATCCTGAAGCCCGAACCCTGAATCCTCAAAGCTGTATTCCTAAACCCCTAAACCCCAAACCCTCATTGACAAAGCGCAGAAGAGTTGCTGGCAGACCGAAGGCAGCAAAGACTTGGGATGCAAATCTCGGGTTGAAGTTGGCGCAGTCCCCACGAGGGCCGACGAGAAGCACCGGCACACTTGGAAGCTTGTGCTTTTCAGCCAGCTCCGCTACCTAGCTGAGGTTAAAGGATGCTTGCTTTTGAAACTTGGGTGGAGTTTGCGCTTAATCGGGTGTGGGGTTTGGGGTATAGTTGCAAGGATCTCGAACGGGGCATGGTTTTCCGTGGCTCCATATAAACACAGAAGACACGAGAAACAAAAGTGAAGCAATGTTCACACAACAGGGTAAATAAAGACCGAAACGTGTGGTGCTCGCGACAGCAATCACGCATGCTATGCAACACCCGCGACACACATGTGAACAAAAAAAGCAGAACAAGGACAACCATTTCACGCTTCTCCGCAAATGTTTCATTGTCCTGCAGGTGATCTAGGTGAGCTTCGTGCTGAGTTCTCGCAAACTAGAGCAGCTTATGCCACAAAAACATACTACATGTTACTCATATTACAGTGACCTTTGTGCTTCCGGACAAATCCTGCCAGATGACTCAAACAAAGTACAGACACATATGTATATTCCGGCAGAAATTTGCTGTTGCTGCTTCCTTTCCCAACGCTTATCGAATTCTCTTCATCCTGAAATCGCGGGACACGCTGCAGTCTTGAAGGCCATGAAGCACCGGCCGCCCGCCCGGGAAAGCCGGATGTCAAACAAGACAAACTCAACCACGGGGCTATACCACACACCAGTTTGCACTGGCCGCATGTGGGGCTCTTCCGGCACTCCTGTGTGTGGGTACTTCCCACCGCAGAGCTCGCCAAAAAGCGCGACAGAGGAAGTTTCGATATTCTCGAACACATCTCTCGCAAGGCCCAGGAACTGGGCTCGGTATCGGCTCCTGTTGAGGAGCGAAGCTGCCATCTACACAAACCACAGTCGCTCAAATCAAGATCATTGTCTAAGTGGATCCACTGTATGAGTATGTATGTATGTATATATATATATAGATCTAGTGTAATATTCGTTCTATAACAACCCATTGAAAGGTCTTTCCTTGCTGTGATGATTGCTGGCAACACTGCGCAAGCCATAGTAAACAACGAAAAACGATCAGAATCAGACCTCGAATCCAGAACCCGCACCCAAGCAACTCAGCAGCACCTGGCGCTCCTCTTCAAGTACATCCCCATGATTAGCAACATAATCTACCGACTATATAAGACATGTTGTCTTCAGAGGCCTATTGCTGTGAGCAAAAGGCCTCTCATATTGTACTGAAAATGGCAGAAGGTGCCATGGTACTTTATCGTTGTCGCAGCTGAAAATGTTTCGAACCTGCATGCCCGGATCGCATGGTTGATATTTTTGACTCCTAAGCATATACGCTGCGGCACCTTGGGGTTAGGCCATGACAAAACACAGCAAGGAGCGCTAAGTCCTAGACCCTAATTAAACCCTAAACCCATAATTAACCCGAAACCCTTTGAGTGTAGACAAAGAGCAGCATCCGGTAATGTCCGAAGAAATCCTCGTGCTCTTTGAGGAACGCAGTTCGCTTCGCACAGTGCAGTGCGCCAGACCTTTTGAGCCAGAGAGGAGCTCAAGAGGTGCAAGGTTTTGGGGTTTAGGGCTGAAGGGGTTTACATAGGGGTTTAGGGGTTTATGTAGGGGTTTATGTGTTTATGTAGGGGCTTACGGTTTATGTAGGGGTTTAGCGGTTTAGGCTTAAAAGAACCGTCAACCCTGAACCTCTAAACTGTCTTGTCCCCGCTAGAACCCCTCGGTGGGCACGATACAGCGCAGGGAGGTACATCAAACCTATTCCCTACGCTGAACCCCCTGCCAAAACCTAAAATCCCAATCCCCAAAAGCCTGAAGCCCTACTGTAAACCTTACGAACACCCAAGCCCTGTAAGTTTCATAAACAAATCTTCCACCCTTTCAACAACATAGACCGGAGGAAAACAACCTTTAGGCCCAGACTTCAGGGTTAGGGTTTAGGGCATTTAAGACCCTATCGAACCTCCCAAATCCTGAACCGCATACCCGGGACCTCTCTATGTGGACGGAGAAGTTCGCTCCATGGATCTTCTCCGTGACACACCAGTCACCCCCGGAATCGCTGGCACCTGGGTTGCACATCAACACCTCGAACAACAGAAGAGGGGGGAACACATTGGCAAACTAAAGATCCCTGAGCTTCTGTTTTCAGCAGGCCAGTGTACACTCCAACTAACGGAAGCTAATCTAAGTTGGCCCAAATAAGATCCTATTAAGCCCGAAAAAGGCAAATGAAGAAAAAACTCTCAAAGGCCCGGCGCGTAATTACAGTAGTTCCAAACAGCATCATAGGCACGGCAGCTGCCCAGGGGGATCTTGCCATAGCCGGCGAAGCCAGACATATTGCGCTTGACAGCCGCATCAAGCGTCTTTGTAGCAAGGTTTGTCCACGCTTCGATACTTTCTCTGCATTGTGGCAAGGACAAGCTACTCACCTGCTGTTGCCATTTAAAGACAGCTGAACGATCAAGTGCAGTTAGTAGGCAGACAGTGCTTTCCATTTCTTGGCTTCATTTGGGAAGTCGAGCTTGGGGTGGTTGAATTAGTGGAGATCGGTGCCCTAGCCGGATCCTTGCGCAATTTCCGAGAGAAGTGGCCCAATGACTGCAGAAAACCCTTAGGGGCTGAGTACCCTAGCCCAAAAAAGCGTTACCCTTGCAAACAATACTAGGATTCTATAAGCCCCCAAGGGTTAAAAATTACCTATTCAGCCCCGACGGACCTTCAGAACACCAAGTGGATAGTTCTCCAAATTAGGGTCCCTTTGGGGGCTCATTTTTTTATACGGGTGCCGTACTATACTGGGGACCTCAAGCGGGACCCTAATACTTGCCAAACCACCCCCCGAAGCACGGCTCTTGGGATTGGGACGGTTTCTTCTGTGCAGAGACGGTTATCTGTGGATCACAAAGCTTGGCGGTTTAGGGTTGAAGGTTTAGGGGTATCAGGGTCCAAGACCAAAACATTACCCACAGGCTCCATTGTACTTCTTTTTTGGGGTTACCTTACAGGATACAATAAGGAACTACGATGGAGCCTATAGGTA